ACATCAAATTAAAAATCAATTTTCATCCAATTAACATTTAATTTTACATAATAAACATTTAGCTCATTAAATTAACAATTAAATTCAACAAGTTAACAATAAATTACTCAAATTAACATAAAATTAATATTGAATTCATCTAATTTGCATTCAACTTTATTCAATTAACACTAAATTAATCAAATTAACATCCAAAATTATTTAAAAAATATTCAATTTATCAAATTAACATGTAATTTCATCCAATTAAAATTAATTTATCAAATTAACCCCAAATTAACATTTAATTCATCAAATTAACACCAAATTAACAATCAATTTCATTTGATTAACATTAAAAAATTTTAATAAGCATTTAATTCATTAAATTAACATTCAAATTCAACTAGTTAACATTAAATTAATTAAATAAACTTTCAATTTCATTCAATTAACATTCAATTCATAAAATTAATATTCAATTTCATCAAATTAACATGTAATTTCATCAAATTAACATGTAATTTCATCAAATCAACCCCAAATTTTTATGTAATTTTATCCAATTAAAATGTAATTTATCAAATTAACACCAAATAACATTCAATTCATCAAATTAACATCAAATTAACAATCAATTTCATCCAATTAACATTCATTTTTTTCTAATAAGCACTTAATTTATTAAATTAACATTTATATTCAATTAGTTAACATTAAATTAATAAAATAAACTTTCAATTTCGTTCAATTGACACTAAATTCATCAAATTAACATTCAAATTATCAAATTAACATTCAGATTTATTAAATTGACATTCAATTTTATCAAATTAACATGTAATTTCATCAAATCAACACCAAATTAACTTATAATTTTATCCAATTAAAATTTAATTTATCAAATTAACACCAAATTAACATTCAATTCATCAAATTAACACCAAATTCATCAAATTAATTTAACGTTAACTAGTTGAATTTGAATGTTAATTTAGTGAAGTAAATGTTTATTAGAAAAAATTAAATGTTAATTAAATGAAATTTACTGTTAATTTGGTGTTAATTTTATGAATTGAATGTTAATTTGGTATTAATTTGATAAATTAAATTTTAATTCGATGAAATTCCATGTTAATTTGGTGTTGATTTGATAAATTGAATATTTTTAAATAATTTTGGATGTTAATTTGATTAATTTAGTGTTAATTGGATTAATTTGAATGCAAATTAGATGAATTCAATATTAATTTGATGTTAATTTCAGTAATTTATTGTTAACTTGTTGAATTTAATTGTTTATTTAATGAACTAAATGTTTATTAGCTAAAATTGAATGTTAATTTGGTGTTAAATTGATGAATTGAATATTAATTAGATGAAAATTGTATATTACTTTGGTATTAATTTGATCAATTTAATATTTATTGTTTGATTTGGAATGTTAATATAATATTAATTTGTTAAAAACATGTTAATTAAATACTTTGGATGAAAAATAATAGTAATTTAGTGTTAATTAATTGCAAGTTGAATTTTAATGTTAATTTGATGAATTGAACGTGTTAATGTAATATTAATTTGTTAATTACATGTTAATTAAATACTTTTG